TTGGAGACCTCTCGTATCACCCCCACCTCGGTCCCTGTGGCTGACTGTTCCTCTGTCTGGCTTCCTGGCTTTTAATCCCCTTTCTCCTGCTTTTCCATCCTGCTGCTTTGGGTGTCCCTGAGTTGTCTCTCCTCACCTGTAACCCTGTTGTGGGAGTACACAAAGCAAAATGTACACCAATTCAGCAGTTTCTCCAGGTCCAACTCAGTGACTTTGCTGACATTCTTCAAGTTGTGCAACCACACTCCCCTCCTTTTCTGAGCCATTCCTTCCCTATTAACATACACTCACTGCCCCCTGAGGATCCTGTCTAATTTTTTGAGTTGCTGGCCACATACTGTTTAAACTGTGAATTGTGCTCCAGGTTCAATTAAATTTAAAAAGGTAATATAAGAATAATGAAACAAACGGTTTTTGTGAGCTAGCAGGAATTGAGTCCAACTGTAAGAGGAAGTTGAACTGATTTGAGGGAACCAAGGGTATAATAAAACATTAAATAACAAACAAAACAGCTCTTACGTTCATGACTTGTTCCTCCAAAAAACTTGCTGGATAGGTCAGCTTTAAAAGATACATAAATCAGTCTCAGAAAGGTTTCCTCTGAAGTTAGAAGGAAAGGGTGGGTCCAAGTGAGCTGTTGTCTGTTTCTGTAAATAAAATTTCATTAGAACCCAGCCATGCTTATTTGTTTCTGTGTTGTTGATGGCTGTTTTTGTGCTACGGCAGTACAGACGTGTGGTTGTGATGGACCTCATGGCCTGTGAAGTCCCAAATATTTACCATACTGTTTGGTCCTTTATGGAACAAGTTTGTTGGCCCCTCGGCTAGAGGACAGAGATCCCTTTCAAATTTCAAATTATTTAATTAAAAAGAATCTAGGAAGGCTTCTGTGGATTCATCAAACATCCACATTCCATCTCCTCAATGGGTGACTAACATTATTCACATGAGTCATTGACAATTAGCTTGAGCTGTTCCTGACACAATATTAGCCCTACTCCCGGATGAGGCTTTAGCACTAATTCCATTGTGTTTCCCGGTAACTCACAAGTAACCAGTTCTCTGGTTATCACTGATGTAAAAACCTCCTGCTCTGACTTTCCTGAAAAAAGCAAGAGGGTGGCAGAGCTGGAAAAGTGGGATTCTGCTGCTCGTGTGTCCCCATGCCCATGACAAGACCCTCTGAAGGAGCCCTGATGGCACAGTGATTCAAGTGCTCAGCTGTTAGCCAAAAGGTGGAGGGTTCCAACTCACCAGCTACTCTGCGGGAGAAAGATGGGGCAGTCTGACTCCGTAAAGATGTACAGCCTTGAACATCCTATGGGGGAGACGCTTCTACTTGTCCTATATAAGGTTGCTATGAGTCAGAATCAACTCAACGCCAGTGGGTGCCCCCCCATCTTCAAATAAGATGGATTTCCAGAGTGAGTTACTGTGTTTCTCTGGTGGTTTCATATTTACCTGGCACATGACTATGTGAGTCCATATCCTCTAGTCTGAGAGGCACAGTGAAAGGAAAAGAACCCGGGGGAAATACATCAGCAAGCTTTTGTCACGGAATATTGGTTCCCAAGTCCATACCACGGAAGGAGAAAATTAGAGAGAGCCAGTCTGGGTTACTGACTGTGGTGCAGATTGATAACCCTTTGTGTGCTGTCTCCATGTGTCAACAGACAAAAATGAGTGCCAGTTCGGAGCCACCGTGGTCTGTGGGAACCACACATCTTGCCATAACACACTTGGAGGCTTCTACTGCGTTTGCCTGGAAGGATACCGAGCCACGAACAACAACAAGACATTCATTCCCAATGATGGCACCTTTTGTACAGGTATTCAAGAAGCAGGCTCAGCTGTGTGACTTGGTGATGGAAGGACAGTATTGGGAGGGGAGAAGGGAGAGGCCAGGGCTGAGACAGGCTGGGATTTAAGGCAGGCTCTCCTTTAAGAATAACCATGAGGTAAATTTGGACATGGACTGAGAATTAGTAAATAGTAGACACTTAGTGTTAATTTTGTTAGATGGGATAATGGTTTTGTTGTATGTAGGATAATACTCTCATTTTGGAAGATGCATGCTGATGTATTTGGGGTGTTGTGAAGTATTATTATGCCTGTAAGTTACTTTGAAATGTGTATGTGTGTGTGTGTGTATGTGTACATATACATATATACAGACACAGATAGGGCAAAATGTGAATACTCGTTGGATCTTTGGGAGCTCTGGTGGTGTAGTGCCTAAGGCATTTGACTGCTAACCAGAAGGCTGATGATTCAAACTCACCAGCCGCTCCTCAGAAGGAAGTTGGGCAATCTACTTCCGTAGTGATATTGCCTTGGAAACCCAAGCAGGGGTCACTATGAGTTGGGTCCGACTTGACGGCTCGACGGCAGTGAGTTTGGTTTAGTTTGGTCGGATCTTTGGGGATGGGTACATGAGAGTTCACTGTAATAGTCACTTTCTGGGTCTGTCTGGCTGAACATTTTTGTCATGAACAGTAAGAGACGTTCCAGAGACGGCATACCATCTGCAGGCTCCTGTCACCCTAGGTGGGGTATCTTTGGGGTGACTTGGCTCTCACCAGCTCTGTGCCACTAAGGGCCCAGGTGGTGGGCCTGTGATAGCTCCTTATATGGGGTCCGAGTGCTGTCGGAAGAGTTGGCTTGCTTCTTATAGGAAGATGCTGAGGGAGGAGTGTGAGCCTCGTGGACCTTGGTAGCTCCGCAGGTCAGATTTCTGGGCAGATTTTAGCCAAATAAAGCCAGTTGCTGTTGAATTGATTCCTCTATGTGTTGACTCCATTGTGCCAGAGTAGAACTGTGCTCTGCAGGGTTTTCCATGGCTGGGATTTTGGAAGTAGATCAGTTGGCAGCCCTTTTTTTCCAGGTGTCTTTGGGTAGACTCAGACCTTCAACCTTTTGGTTAGCAGCTGAGCATGTTAACTGGTAGTACCACCCAGGGACTCTAGCTGTCACAAGAGGTAGATAAACCCCTCGTCACTTTCAGTGTTCTCTTTTATCTGAACTCTTACTTACAAAGCATGCCATGATAACATAAGGAGCCCTGGTGGTGCAGTGGTTAAACACTCAGCTGTGAACCAAAAGGTTCGAACCCACCAGCCACTCCACAGGAGAACAATGTGGCTGTCTGCTTCAGTAAAGATTTACAGCCTTGGAAACCCTATGGGGGCAGTTCGACTCTGTCCAAAGGGCTGCTATATGTCACAATTGACTTGGTGGTAGTGGTTTTTTCTTTCTTTTGTGGTGGCCATGATAATATAGCTCTTTGGTTTTCTAAGAAAATTTCTGAACAGTAATGAAGAGAAAACACAGGAAAAGACTCCTGGTACTCAGATGATTTTGCATAGACTGAATGACTCTGCTTCAAAGCTCAGTGATATTGAAAGGTTTTTGAAGAAAAGAAAGGGAGAGGAGAATATGTTTTATCTTCTTAGTCGCCAGGAGCCATGTGTTGTGATGCTCTGATTCATTCTCCTTCTTGACCTGTACCCAGGTAAAATTTCTCAAAGGGTACATTTTATTTATTCTTGGCTTGAATGAACACATTCCCTCAGAGAGGATACTTCATGATAGTGTGTTGTTTTAGCTAGCAAATTACTTGCTACATGGTTGCAGAAGTACAATACTGCAGAATTAAATTAAGCAGGTTAAAAAAAAAAAGTTACCTATTGAAATAAAAACAACCTTACAAGATGATGATCTAGTGTTCAGTTCCTTCAGTTTGTGTTTCTGGAGCACATCCTACATTCCAAGGCAGTGCTAGTGGGAGAGGATAGGCGAATGGCTAATTTCAGTATAAAGTGTTAGCAAGGGGTGCTTCCCAGATTCCAGGGGGGAATCCTTCTCTTGGAAGTGGGGACGGGATCAGCAGACACTTTCTGGAGCTTCTGATACCTGAAATTGCATGTTCAAGGCTATGGGAATTTCCCACGAAAAACTTTTATAATTACATATGTAAGTATAGTTCCCAAGACTGCATTACACTCTTTAAAGGTTAAGAAGAAGAAGAAGGAATAATTATATCATGCAGCGGTCAGATAGTCAGCCTGTTAAGGACCAGTCTTCCTGGAACAAAATCCTGATCTAGGCACTGTTTCTATTTATTGTATTTCTTGCCATTATTTTGTAACCTCTCTCCCTTTTTGCTTTTTTCCCAATTGAGATATAATCCATATATTAGAATATTTGTCTTTTTAAAGTGTACAATTCAGTGATTTTTAGTGTATTTGCAAAGTTGTGCAACCATCACCACTATTAAATTTTAGAACATTTCTATCACTCCAAAAAGAAACTCCATACTCATTGACCACCACTCATCTGTCAGTTTGTCATACTGTGGTGGCTTGCATGTTCCTATGAGGCTGGAAGCTACACTGCTGGTATTTCGAATACCAGCAGGGTCACCCGTGGTGGGCAGTTTTCAGCAGAGCTTCCAGACCAAGACAGGGCAGGAAGAAAGGTCTGGTGATTGACTTCTGAACACCAGCTAATTACAAACCCTATGGATCTCAGAATATTGTCCACGGCTTCAACTTGCTTCCTTTGGATTCATCATCCGAAGGAACCAATTACTGGTGAAGGATATCATGTTTGCACAGGTGAGGGAAACCCTTAGTGAGATGTGTTGACACAATGGCTACAACAGTGGACTCAAACATACCACTCATCATGAACATGGTGCACATTCTAGCAGGATTCCTTCTGTTGTGCCTGGGATCACCATGACAAAGCTGACTTGATGGCAACTAATGGTGACAACTCTCATTAGCAGTCACTCCCCATGGCTTTTCCTTTTGTGATTTCCAGTTATCATTTTGTAAAAGATGATTAGCAACCTTTCTGGATGATACTGAATTTTGTTTAGAATCATAGTTGCCAGAGAAACACCAGTGGACGGAGGCTTAACAAGTGTTGGTGTATCAGCAGTTATCCAGTGTTTGTCTGGAACCAGAGGATGTGAATCCTAGTTACTGGATTCTGAGGAATTGTGAACCAAGGTCTTTGTTGTACTGTGCAGAGTTGAAGTCAAGCTTGGGAGCCGGTGTAGGTTGGCCTCCATGGATGTTACCAATGATGGATGAGGGTTGAGTTGCAGGGGTTCTGGTGTTGGATGACTCCACGCATTCTAGAGAAACTACAAATGTACTGGTCTCAAGCTGTGCCCCCGAATGACTCCCAGGGATCACGGGAACTTGACCAGAAGCCACAACTCAGGGGAAGAAGCTCCATGGCACTCCCAGTGTTAGAGAATTTTGACTTGGGTGAGTTGACAGTAAGTGGAGAGAAATAAGAATGATGTTAGAAACAGGTTCTGACATGTCATCTTCCCACCCACATGTCTCCAATTAGGCATGGTCCTAGAAGGGGCTCCTGAAACTGAAAAGTACTTTTTTCTGAGTCCTTGACTTCCTTG